GAGCTGCTGCCATCAGGGACGCCAGCTCTCGGGGTTGGTGACGTCCTGCCCTTGGGATACGTCAATCCTGGGCTGTACACAGCAATATCCAAATAGAAAAGAAAAGGAAAATAATTACTTTGAGACAACTCTTGCGTGGGGATGGAAAGGGTTCCAAAGGCCGCACGGTGAAATCAAAATGGGAACTGAGCCAACCGTCCCTGCTGGCAGCACTTGGTGAGGACAAAAATGGGGTTTTCTCAACCAGACAAAGCTTTTTCTGTTTTTTTTTATAATTTTCTGCTGGTATTTCGAGAATCAGCGGGCAGGGCTGTGATGGATTTTTGAGGAAAATGGTGAGTGGAAGGAGATCGAGAAGAGCATGAGCTCTTTTTCCTCCTTCTTGTTGAACTAAAGCGATGTAGCGTGACTCCCCCGGGCGCAGGAAAGCGTGTTTATGGGCTCATAGGGAAGGGAGATGGTTTGACCCTGGAGACAGGGAGCACAGTTCGAAACAGAAGATGCCAGGAAGAACTGAGGGGCCATGTGTTGTGTGCTCGTCCTCGGAAGTATTTTTCAGCTTCTGCAGGAAAAACAGGTATCATCACTCGCCTGCAGCAAGAAATTCCCTCCTTCCTTCAGGACTTGCCGTGGTATGAACATAATGACAGCTTCTAGACCAGAGATTTATAAATTTCCCTGAGGGCTCATTCTGCTTAAAGAAAATAAAATGAAAAGGAAGGCGACGGTGGCGTGGATCAGCTCTTTGCTGGTGCAGCTCCGTGGATCTCGCTGCTGACTGGTGCCAGTCCCCATCCTCCCCTTTCCCCTGCTACAACAGCAGAAAGTTATTCCCCTTTTTTTTTTTTTTTCACGGCTGATTTCTGTTTTATTTCTCTGCAAGGGAAGAAGCTGTGAACGACGTGGCTTCAGCTGTGCCCCATGCGTAGACGGGGACCGAGCGGGGGGTCAAGCCCTGCGTGGGGAGCTGAGGTTATTTTTTTTTTATTTTTCCCACTGCAGGTAACCAAAATGAATTCTGCTTAGCTCAAACCCTGCCCTGCCTGTGCAGGCTCATCCCCAGTGCAGTTAATCTGCGAAACGGAGCATTCCCCAAGGTGAAACCTTTTCCTGATTGTTTCGAGCAAATATTCCTTTGCTGCTGAAATCAGTGTTAGCTTTAGTTCCGAGGTTAACTCTGGTTCTAACTAGAGGATTGCTGCACGCCTTTGGAGCAGGTGTATTGTTTTAATAAGCACCCATTTGATTTTAATACTTCTTTTTATTTTTTAAAAAGGTGAAATATTTGAGTACCCCAACGGGGAGGAGGGGGGGAATCTTTAGGAGCTGCCGAGCGGCTCGGAGCCGGAAGGGTGGTGCTGCCCAGGCAGAGGGTGTTTCACCCCGGTGATGATGGAGCTCTCATTAACCTGCTGGAATCTTGCAGAATGACTATAAACGATGGCTTGTGCAATCTCCAGGCTTATTATTGATAATGAGGCTGTTTGGTGGCAGCTCGGCGCGGGGTGAGGTCAACAGTGGGAAGCTTCAGCTCTGCACAAGCTCTGGATCAGCGCTAAAATCTCTTGTGTTTGGACTTGGAGCGTAAAGAGTCCCGTGTGTTTTGATCCCTTTCTGCCTTTCCTAGGGAGAAATGCAGGCAGAGGAGATGCAGTTGAATCTGTCAGAGACCAAGGTCAGAAAAAAACAAAAACCAAACTGCGAGGAGGAGGCAGAGGTCTGGAGCTGCAGCGTTGAGTTCCTGGGAAGAAAAAGGTCCGGCGGGTGCAGAGACGATTTGTCTGGTTCAGCGGTGACGTTACCAGGGGCTGTCTGTGTGCCACGGTCCATCACCGCTGCCCAGAGGGTGACAGCACGGTGGCACCGGCAAAGGACACCGGAACCCCGCTGAAATCGGTGAATTTAATCACAGCTGTCTCTTTGGAGCAAGTGTATGGTTTTAATAAGCATCTATTCGATTTTAAGACTCTTATTATTTTTAAAAAGGGGAAATGACATTTGAAGAGCTGTGATTTTTGGCAAATTGTGTTTGGGTGGAAATGAAATTCAACTGAAATGTTTTTCCACATCCTATGCTGCCTGGATGGGAATGCTCATCCCAACACGTCTTGTGCTTTCCTTAAACCCAAGGAAATATTGCAGCTGGACTGACTTGCTCCCAGGCACCACAATATTTCGAGCTACGAGGCCTCGTTCTTTCAGCTTGTTTTAAGCCAGGGAAATATTGAAAGTAAAAATGGAGCTTTGCTGGGTTTTGGGATGTTTTAGACACCTGGGAAGGGGTTTCGGCTCCTGGTTGGTGACTACCAGCACCGCGGTCCTCTGCCCTTTAGTTGAAAATATTTTGAGCAAAAAAAAAAAATATATATATATTTTAAAGAAGAATTGCGTCTCATATAAAAGAAAAGAGCCTGGAGTTTTGAATCAGCCCTTGGTTGACAAACAGCCCTCTTGCTTTAGCAGCAGCGCCTGTCCCCCAGCTCCCAAGTGATGCTGGTGACACACCTTTCTCCGCACGTGGCAGCGAGGAGCTGGGGAGGTGACAAGGACAGGCCAGCTCCTGCCACCCAGCTCCCAGAGCCCTCCTGCAGCTCCAGCACGAGGTGTCCAAGGCTGGCGGGCGTCGTGTGCGACGCACGAGAGGTGCGGCATGAAGGTATGACAATAACAAGACCCATTTCCTTAGCTCCTCCGGTGTTTGTTCCTCCCGTCGGCGGCTTCATCCGTGGGGTAGGACGGGGCTGGGAAGCTCACCGAGCAGGTCTGGCGTCGCTGAGCCTCGGGGCTGGGACGTGGAGTTAGTCATCACCAGGTTGGTCCTACGTAAAGCTTTCCCCGGCGAGAAGTCGCAAACAAAGAGCTTCAGCGCCCGCGTCTCTGTGTTTATTTCTCTTCATCCTGTGCCTCTTGCGCTTCTCTCCGAGCGGCGCCTCGGGCACGAGCTGACGTGGAGAATCGAACAGAAGTGAAGCTGTTGGGCTGCAGGCGTGCTGGACTCGGCGCGGAGCGACGACGTGAAAACCCCGCAGCCGCGGACACAGCGAGGGTTTTGTCTGCTCGCAGGGGTGCGCGGGTTCTCGACTCGCTTCCTTCCTCTTCTGGGCTTTTCTCGTTAACCTCAGAGTATTTAGAAGTATTTTTAAACCTCTCGTCTTGAGAGGCCAGGCTAGAATTGGCGCTGGCTTACAAAGAGGCTGTGTAAAGTCGGAGGGAGGGAGCCCAGATCTGCAAATATTTATTATTTGAACAGGGCTCGTGCCCCCGAGCTCGGTCCCCTCTTCCGTCGTGGGCTCCTCTGCCAGTCCTAGCAGCCTCGGCTCCTTTTGCCAGAGATTTCCCCATCCCGCTGCCTCCACACAAGGAAGCTGATGATGATTTTTTTTTTTTTTTTGCAATCTGTGGAAGAAGAATTTGTGGTCCAGCCCATAGCACTGGTAGAACCGTTGCCTTCACTTCCCTGCTTGTCCTGAGCAGCTTGCTGCCATAAATTATCCATCCTCTCGCTTTGATCAGCTTATTTTCTGCTTTTTCCCCTCTCTCTCCTGGAACATCATCTTAGGCCTTGTCTGCCAAGCGAGTCCTCTTGTTCCTGCCTCTTTCCCCACTGCTGTCCGGCTCCTGCGCTCGGCTCCCGCTCGACGCTGGCACGGGTCGGGGTACGGGCACCCCTAAACTGGCCAGCACAGGGACCAGCCTCTCCAAAAGCTGTCCGGCCATTGCCAGGCTGGAGCAAGTCCTGGAAGCCGTTGGACTGGATGTTTTGGGGCGTTATTGGAAATGGGGGAGCTCGGGCAGAGCAGATGCACCCGAGGCGTGCGGCGCTGGGAGCTGACTGTGCACTGAACATCCTGAGTCCCAGCGTCGTGCGCAGCCAGCAGCTGCGAGGTCAGGCTGCTTCAAAAAATATCTTGTAGGCTTGTGTGAGAATGCCTTTGTTTAAAAAGAATTTAAAAAAAAAATCCCACTTGCTTATGCATCTTGTGTGCTGCCTAATTCCTCTCTCTCTCTCTCTTTTTTTTTTCTTTTTTTTTTTTAAATGCATCAGGAATTTTTCTTTCTAAATTCCCAGCGAGTTGTATTTGCTGGGTGTGAAAGCTCTGGGTCTAGAGGGAGAGGCAGGGCACCGTTGGGAACCTTAAAAACCTGCATGTAAACAACGTTTTTGTTAGTAAGCTGCCTAGACATGAAAGGGCGATGAAGCTTTTCGTAGAAAAGTGCAGAGGAGAAGAGAAGGGCTTCCTCGAGAGTAGAGGACCTGCTCTACTAGCTTGTTTGTCCTCGAAAGACAAAGCTCAGGTTGGAAAATCTTGCATAAGTGGGGAAAAAAGGGAAGTTCTGCCCAAGCTCAGCTGAGCAGAGACTGGTGTGAGCCAGGTTAGCCTGGAAATTAGGGGGAAAAAATCTCTGAAATGACAGAGGAGTAATCCAGAGAGCACAGACCTGGGTAATTCAGAAGAGAATAAAATAACGTTTTATATATAGAGCGTCTGTAGGAGTGAGAAGCGGAATCAGAGATGCAAGAAGCTGGTGCCAAGCCTCCCTCTGTAGCTGGGGAAGGTTCTGCCGAGGACACCGCCGTGAGCAGGAGCAGCAGAGCTGGGGCAAGCGAACGTGCAGAGGTTTAAGATGAGCCCTGAGCCGCCAGCTTGCAGCGAAGGGGACTGGCCGGGGACTGGCCATGAGCGTAAGCTGAGGGTACACGATGCGCAGGATTTAACCCATGAGCCGGTCATCGCTTCAGAGGAAGAGCTAAGGAGGAGGAAACTCTTTTAGCTTTGCCCCCTTGATTACTCATGATGGCTTAAGAGGATGAAAAAGCAGATCCAAAAGTTTGAATTTAAGAGGCAGGCTGCTGTCTGGTTTGCGAATGGAAATTGTCCATTTTTCAGCCCTCGGTTGCTGCAGGGCTGGTGGAGCAGCGCTCCAGGGAGTCACCCGGACCATGTGCTTGGAAGTGGATGGTGCTGACCTGCTCTCCTTCCCCTTTTCTCTCCTTTTAGGTCGGGGACCATAAATTCAGCGCTCACCGCATCGTGCTGGCTGCTTCCATCCCCTACTTCCACGCCATGTTCACCAACGACATGATGGAGTGCAAGCAGGACGAGATCGTCATGCAGGGGATGGATCCCAGGTAAGGCCCCGAGGAGCGTCAGTGAGGGCGTCCAGAGGGACCGCGGGCATCGGCGTCGTGCCTCCAAGGCTTGAAATCCCACCCTCTCGTGGAAACGGCACCAAAAAATGTTTTTCTATTTATAGAGTCCCATGCTAGCTTGAACTCAGTGGATTTTCTGCCTTTTCTCCCTTTTTTTAGCGCACTTGAGGCTCTGATCAACTTTGCCTACAACGGTCACCTGGCCATCGATCAGCAGAATGTCCAGTCGCTGCTGATGGGGGCGAGTTTCCTTCAGCTGCAGAACATCAAAGACGCTTGCTGCACTTTCCTCCGAGAGAGGTAAGGGCTCATCTCCTGGCTTGGCTCCCTGCTCCCTACCAGCAGCAAAGTTTTGGTTTGGGGGGGAGCGGGACGGCTCCTGCCGGTGTGATGGGGAGGTTTGTGTCTCCCAAGACTCACTGTTCTCGTTACCTAGAAAATAATTTATCAGGCTGATGAGATGCTGTAGCTGGGACACGATATTTTGGCCAGATGTAAGAACTAATACCTGGAGTAAAACAGAGTGAACATTTCCCTTTTTAAGAGTTAGCCCATCGTACGTGACTGCCTGTACCACTAACGAACCCGTCCTCGCAGTAATCCCCCCGCTGCGTGTTTAAGAGGAGAAGAACAAAGCGACTCAGCCAAGGAGCTGGACAGGAAGCTGTGGCAGAGCCTTAAATTGATCCCATGTTTTTTTTTTTTTTTTTTTCAATTCCCTCGCTGTGTTTGGCTGCAAGCTTTGTTCCAGCAGCATGGTCTGGAAACGGAAAAGCAAGGCTGTTCTTTGGAAATGTACCACGCGCATCTTCGGATGGTGCCAGGCAGCCTTACGGGTTTCATTCCCCCTCCTGTCCCCAGCTTGATTTCCCTGCAGCTGTTCAGTGTAATCCTTGGCGTGATGTTAAACATGCCTACCAAACAAATGGGACGTCACCGCCAGTTATTTTTCTTTATTTCTAAATATCCTAAAACTATGGACTGGGGAGAAAAGTTTTTCCTCCGTGTCTCAATTTCCAGTCCCCTGTGCGTCCTGTCTGCAGTCTGTTTAGAATTAAGTTATGGAAGGCTACAGAGTATTCATTTTTCTTGAGAAAAAAAACATTTTATTTGAGATACTGGATGTGACACCAAGCTGGAAGGAGATGGGTTGTGTTGTTTTTAGGCTGGATGAGGCTTTGGGCAACCTGGGCTAGTGGGAGGTGTCCCTGCCCATGGCAGGGGGTGGCACTGGGTGGGATTTAAGGTCTCTTCCAACCCAAACCATTCTGTGATGATTTTAGAGTCCCTGCTGGCTTTAGGCAGTTATATCTAGATGAGGCAAGGTGATTTGGTTTCTCAGGTATAGCTGCCAAAGTTCCCCCAAATCCACCAGGAGCAACTCCAAAGCTAAGTCCTGGATTTGAGTGCACAGCTGTCACTTGGATTAAAAACAAGAAAACTGGTCGACTCTGACCACCCTGAAGAGCTGGAGCATGCACCCTGAGTTCTTGTTTGGACGGGAGTGTCCGGGACACGTACGTGTTTCTGCAGAGCACTGTAACACATCATCTTCTCCAGCTCCTTCATGCCACCGAGCAGGTTTCTGCAGCGGCCGTTGGGCTGAGCCGGAGAGAGGCTCGGATCCCCAGCGGTACTTCTCACTGCCTAACCTCCAGCTGCAAAAGCATCTTTGGTGAGAAAACCTCCTTCATCTTGGGAAATGGCTTAATGAAGCTGTAACAGATGCTGTGCTGTAGTACTTGGAAAAGATGCGAGATGGAAAACAGAGGCTGATGGTTTGTGCAACGTGCTTGAATCCAGCTTTGTCCAATAGTGGAGTTTAAAAAAAAATAAAAATAAAAGAAGAAGAAGGTGCTGGATTTTTAAGTCGTGGTTTCCATCCTCTGGCTCTGCTGTGGATTCACCTTCAGTGAGCTGGAACCTGCCATCGCTGGAGAGGACACAGCTGTGGCTTTTGCTGCATCATGTATCCTCAGAGGCTTGCGTTGCTTCATGGAAGCTGTTCCTAATTCTTTCTTCTCTTCCCATTCATCTGACATGACTTTTGCTCTCCTCTTCCCCCCTTTCCCAGGCTTCACCCCAAGAACTGTCTGGGAGTGCGGCAGTTTGCGGAGACGATGATGTGCGCGGTGCTCTACGACGCTGCCAACAGCTTCATTCATCAGCACTTCGTGGAGGTCTCCATGTCCGAAGAGTTCCTGGCGCTGCCTTTTGAAGACGTCCTGGAGCTTATTTCTAGGGATGAGCTCAACGTGAAGTCTGAAGAGCAGGTGAGCGCCTCGTGTAGGTCTTGGCAGAGGGATTTATTTTTTTTTTCTTGAAGGATTTTTGGTTGCTTGGGAGTGGAATGGGGTCATATCCACCCTATTCCAGGGCTGCGTGAAGCTGAGAAGATGCCCTGGCACGGTGGGTACATGAAGAGCTGCTAGGCAGAGCTGTGATGACTCCCTGAGCCCCACAATCCTGCCAACGTTCCCTTGCTCTGAGAAATGCCTGGTAGAGTTTCTCGGACCATAGATTTTGCAAAATATTGTTTTGAGGTGCTTTGGTTCATCGGTGACCGAGGTGGGATGTGTTGGGTCCTGAGGACCTTGAGACTGGCTTGTTCCTGGAAAAAGCAGAAAGCAGGGCTGAGCAACCGGGGCTGGGCTGATGGTCTGCAGGAGAAACAGAACCTGTCCTCGAGCCGGGAAATGTGTCCTGCTCTTCCCGAGGAGGTGACAAATGAAAAGCAGACCTGTAGCCATCCCCGTGTGGGGTAAGAGAGCGCTCATTAACCAGCACTTCGTCTGAAATGCCCCTGAAAGGGCACAAGTGGAGAAGGAAAACCCAGCTCAGGCATTAACTGGGAGAGTCCTGAGAACCAAGGAGTACGTGTCTCCAGTTAAATTCAATTAAAGCAGGCTGCTTTTGTAATCTGGACTCATCCAAAATAGGGCAGGTGAAATTTTTTTTGCTGATTTTTGACAAGGTTTTGCATTCTGTCCCACCTTCTCTAACAAAACTCTCTTTCCCAGCTCCCTCAAATGTTCCTGCTAACCATACCATCCCACGGGACGATAGGTCAGGATTATTGCCAGCTAAGTCAGAGGCAGAGAAAGCAATGCCAAAGCCAAGCCGCCCGAGCATCACGCGATGGGAGAGCGCTCTGGTGCTACATCGAGCATCACCCTTCTGTCCTGAAACCGTGTCGTCTGAGATCAGAGAAAAATCATTGTCAACATGTGGCTTCTTTTCCATCAGGAACTTGCAAAAAAAGACCCCAAAAAGCAACCCCAAAAACGCCACCATCCCTTGTCTCCCTTCCGCAGGTGTTTGAAGCGGCATTAGCCTGGATACGGTATGACCGAACCCAGAGAGAGTCGTTCCTACCCGAGCTCCTCTCCAAAATCCGCCTCCCCCTTTGTCGACCTCAGTTCCTCACTGACCGCGTGCAACAAGACGACCTGGTCCGGTGCTGCCACAAATGCAGGTGAGGCTGGGACAGGGGGTTAGAAAACCACCCAGGAATGTGGGTTTAGCAGTTTTAGAAACTGAAATTCCCTCTTTCTGTGGATGGAGCACCTCACGTCGCAAAAAACCAAAGCGCCCTCCCCAGTTTTAACCTGGCAGCAGGGTCACGCTGCCGTCTGGAAGTATTGACCTTGGTGGGGGAAAGTCACTTGCTTTAATCTTCATCTGACTTAAGATGGTCAGATTCCATCCTATCAGTCGAGCTCTTTAACTATTTGACTTTGATTTCAGGGACCTTGTTGATGAGGCAAAAGATTATCACCTCATGCCAGAGCGCCGGCCGCACCTCCCGGCGTTCAAGACGCGTCCTCGGTGCTGTACATCGATCGTGGGATTGATTTACGCCGTCGGAGGACTTAACTCAGCAGGTACCTTGCATAGCCACTCCCTGCTCGCTGGGTAGGGCGGTGGGATCGCGGACTTTGAGGCTTTGGGCAACCTGGGCTAGTGGGAGGTGTCCCTGCCCATGGCAGGGGGGGGGACTGGGGGGGGTCTAAG